GTATGGCAGATGAGATTCTGCCGAAACGTTGCTACAACTTTAAAAGCACAACTACAATGACGTTGGAAAATACCTGAGCAAAGCCGAATGCCATACATGTAAGTACCCACGAAAACTTAAGAAATTATATATATATATATATATATCCCTTTAACTCCATCCTGAAATATAATTTCCTTCGCTTCAGGTTGGATCACATACAGATAGTCTGAAATTCAACTTCTGGCGTGCATTTCCAAGTAAACAGAAGATGATGGGATCCATTTCTGTACCAGAAAACTGAACAGCCATTGTCGGTAGTAAGGTTGATTGACAAATCGTCTCACCCTCTCTAGGCATTTTCTGATGCAGCTGAAATAGAACATTTTCTCCTGGCCCAGAGTAATCTTGGCATGCACTTTCCTGTCTTGGGATTCAGCCAAATCTCTTAAGAAAAAGCTCTTTTCTTTAATGGGCCATCTCCTCACATCGTTCAGCTCTCCTTTTCCAAGTGGGTCGTAAAGGGTTAATGCTAACCAAGCAAAGTGGAATTACGCCTTCAAGGTTTGACGTAGTAGCAAACTTTCAAACTGTGCTGCCAGCTTTTACTAAGGGTTCGCAGCCCAACCGTCTGAGGACAGTTCATTTGGATGCTTAGGTGTAACTGCGCATTAATTCCAGCTTTTCGGCTCCATTTGTATTTCCACCACACTCCAGCAGCACCGAAAAAGAGAGAGAGAGAGAGAGAGAGAAAGAGAGAGAAGAAGAAGAAGCAGAAGAAGCTAATAAAAATTCTCAGCACACCACCCAATGCAGCAAAATGTATATCTGTGAGTGGCTTTAGGACTTAAGAGGGAATCCACTTGCTCGAAAGCAAACCTTAAAGCCCTTGCTTGGAAAATGGAGGGAGAGAAGCCGCAAAGAAAGCACCGACTACTTAGAATCCCACAAGAATTTTCTCTGCTCCATCATGTAAAGAGCAATCCAAACAATAACACTGGAAGATTCTGAAGCTCCTGCTACAAGAGACACATACAGACAGAGAGAGACTCCTGCCTAGGGACTGTTGAAATGTTAGGCTGCATAAACAAAGGGAAGATGTTGAGACTCTAGAAAGAGCGCAGAGAAGAGCAACAAAGATGATTAAAGAACTGGAGGCTGAAAACATTTGAAGAACAGTTGCTGGAATTGGGGATGTCTAGTTTGATGAAAAGAAGGACTAGGGGTGACATGATAGCAGTGGTCCGACATCTCAGGGGTTGCCACAAACAAGAGGCAGTAAAGCTATTCTCCAAAGCCCCTGAGGGCAGGACAAGAAGCAATAAGTGGAAACTAATCAAGGAGAGAAGCAACCTAGAACTAAGAAGAAATTTTCTGACAGTGGAATTGCTCAATACATACTTCTGCACGGAAGCACATTGCTTTTAAAGTTGTAGCAACGTTTCGGCAGAATCTCATCTGCCATCATCAGGCTTCTGTATTGTGTTCGTCTGTGAGTCAGACTTTTACAGTTGTTTATGACTCACAGACGAACACAATACGGAAGTCTGATGAACACTGTATATTGCAAGCAACAACAACAAAAAGGAAAAAGGAAATTCCACCTATGTGCAGTTGGCAAAATGGCAATATTTGGGAACTGGGAGGCAAAACCTATCAGAACATCTTCTAGCTTGCTCTCTTGTTTTTTTTTCCCTGAGCTTCTGTCAGTAAAATTAAGATGATAGCCAAGGCTGGTATATATTCCTCTTCAAGTCTCAAATTCTACAGTGCTATGCCAAAGAAACCTTGGCGCTCAGTTTATCTTCTCTTTAATTTCAACCTGCCAAACTCTGAGCTAAATATCTATAATTTCCTCCCAATGCAAGTATCCATAATTGTATGACAGGTTCCGTGTATCTGGTTGTGAACTCTTTGTTCACCAAGATGTGTTCTTAAATGCTGCACATTTAGATACTAAAGCTTCCATTTAAAAAAAAAACCTTACAAGGGAGGTTTTGTGTCTTAATTTATTGAAGCCAATCCTCTCTTTCAAGGACTCTTAAAGGACAGTTCTCTATTTGAAATGCTGTCCAGTCCAAATCCAATTTTTTAAAAGTTAAAAGAATTGGGAGCAGAAAACCATGAAGTGATCTATCAATACTGAACAGAAGAACATCAAACCGAGCAGCTGAGCCAGTCCCCAAAATGATGGGCCGAGCTGCATTTATCCATAGATTGCACTTATACAACTTGTATCTGTGGGATTTATAACCTGTAAATATTAAAGGTAGGCCTCGACCAAATTGAAACCAACATTTCTGTTGTTAAGTGAGTTATTTTTTTCTCAGCCCAAGTTTTTTTAAAATTTATATATATAAATATTTTGAATATAGTTTATTGTCCAGGCGTATCATTTTACAAAAGAAAAGAGAGGGAAAGAAAAAAGAAAAAAATAAGTAGTAACATATATGCTAACAACAATAGTAGTGGTACAACTGAATGATTTTGATCAAACTTATAC